GAGATGGCTCAGTGGTCTAAAGCACCTACTTAGAACAAGCCTAGCAAAGCTCAGGGACCGCGGTTCAATCCCCCAGCACCACATGCCAGCCAGCCCCGGCCCCTGTTGGGCTGAGCTGGCCACACACACACAAAAAAAAATAAATAAATAAAATAAATAAATTTTAAAAAGAAAGAATCATTTAAAAAAAAAAGAAAATCATAGTTTGTTTGTTTGTTTGTTATATGTCCTGTTGTTTCCCTAGTCTCTATTTCATTTACTCCACCTTGGCCTTTGTTATTTCCTTCCTGTTACATACGAAAATGCTTTTACTTTTCCTCCTGACATCTTTTTATTTTTATTTTATTTATTTATTTTTTTGGTGGAACCAGGGATTGAACTCAGACCCTTGCACTTGCCAGGGAAGCGCTTATTCTACTGAGCCATCTCCCTGGCCCCATCTTTTTATTTTAATGTCACCCTTTATATCTTTTTATATTTTGTATATATTAATGCTTTTTTAATGTATTTAATACAGGGTCTGTAGGGTCTCACTATGCAGCTCACACTCATAGTGATCCTCCTGTTTTCAGCCTCCCAAGCACTGGGATTACAGGTACACGACACCATGCCTGATCTCAGTCGCTGTCTCAGCATGTCCCAGAGGCAGGGCTGGTACGGCAGGCTGAGGATCAAACCCTGGTCCCTGCATCTGCCTAAGCACGTGCTTTAATCCCCTGAGCTATCTGGCCAGCCCTCCTTCACGTATTTTTGTCACTACCTTTCAGCCTGCTTATCTTTTAACTTGGGTACTGTAGTTAAAAGCGGTTTACCACCACCTTTACAGTATTACTGTTCTCTGAATTTGACTGTGCATTTACCTTTTACGTTTACGTATTAGCCTTACATTTTCATATTGCAATTTAGCTACCTTTTGTTTTAACTTGAATTCTCCCTCTTGCAGTTCCTGCAGGGCAGGTCTGACGAGACATCACGCTAGTGGTGCTGTCCTTGGTTTCTATTTGTCTAAGAATGTCTTCATCTTATCTATTTCTGAAAGACAACTTTTCCAGGCAGTATGCTTAGGTAATGGATTTGCTTTGTTCCAATGTTTGTTTTTTGTTTTTTGTTTTTTTCTTTTGCTACTTCGAGTACATTATCTCATTTTATCTGAATCTGCAGGGCTTCTCCCGGGAAAACTGCTTCAATTTTCTTTTTTCTTTTTTTTAATTTTCATGATGGTTCATCCTACGGAACACGTAACTTGCTTCTTTACAATTGCCTGTCTGTCCCTGACTAGGATGTGTCTCTGAAGAGGTGCCTCTGGGTCGATCTCACTTGGCAACACTGAAGTTTCATGAACCTAGATGCTGCTATCCCCACCAAGCCTGGTATGTTTCCTTTACTCTTACTTCACGTCTCTTCTCCTTTGCAACTCCCACAGTGCATAGCTCCATTCATTATGGTGCCTCATGGGTCCCGAACCCTTTTATTGCTCTTTTTCATCCCCCTCTACATGACTGATTTCCAATGAGCTGCTGGTCAGCTCACTGTTTCTTCGGCATCGAGTCCATCTATGTAGCTTTTCAGTCTACCATTGTATTCTTTGTGTGTGTGTGTGTGTGTGTGTGTGTGTGTGTGTGTGTGTGTAACTGGGGATTGAACTCAGGCCCTTGCGCTTGCCAGGGAAGCAGTTATTCCACTGAGCCATCTCCCCAGCCCCTATATTCTTTTAATCCAGGATTTTTTAAAAACTATATTTGGTTGTTGCAGAGTCTCACTATGCAGCTCGGACTCATGGTAAGCCTTCTGCTTTCAGCCTCCCCAGCACGGGGATTATAGAATGCTCCACATACCCAGACTCTGTGGCTGGCTCAGCCTGCCCTGGAGGCAGGGCTGGCACAGCATGTGGTGCTGGGAATCAAACCATGGTCCCTGAGCTTGCCTAAGCTTGCCTTAGCAGGCACTTTAGTCCACTGAGCTATCTCACCAGTCCTACTCCAGGATTTTGTTTTTCTTTTCTTTTCTTTTTTTTTTTCATGCAGGGTCTACAGGGTCTATTGGATCTCACTAACAGATCAGACTTGTGGTGATTCTCCTGTTTTCAGCCTCCCAAATGCTGGGATTACAGGCTCACAACACCATGCCCAGTCTCAATCAGCAGTGTCTCAGGGTACCCTGGGGGCAGGGCCAGCAGCGCAGGCTGGGGATCTAACCTCCGACCCCTGCGTCTGCTTAAGCAGGCACTTTAATCTGCTGAGCTATCCTACTCTAGGATTTTTGATTGGTTCTTTTTTTATTTGTTTCTATTTTTTAACTTGCTTTGTGCATGCATCATTTTCCAGGTTTTGTTTAGTTATCTGATGTGTTCTCTTGCATTTCATTAGGCATCCTGAAAATGATTATTTTGAATTCTTCATTAGTTCATTTGTAGATCTCTATTTCTTTGAAGACAGTTGCTGGAGCTTTATCGGTTTCTTTTGATGGTGTCATGCTTGTGTGGTTCTTTATTTTTTTATTTTTTAATTTTTTTTGCGGAACCAGGGATTGAACTCAGGCCTTTGTGCTTGCCAGGGAAGTGCTTATTCACTGAGCCATCTCCCCAGCCTGTGTGGTTCTTTATCCTCCATGGAGGGTTGAACTGTTATCTGGACTTAGAAATAGCAAGCGCCTTCTCCAGTCTTTTCGGGCTGATTTCAGCAGGTGAATCTCTTCCCTGCTGTTCCCCAACCTGAGGAAATACATACAGTATTGCAGCTGAGTGGGTTGGAGTCAAATCAGATGACTGTTAGTGGTCTTCAGTGGTCAGACCTGTTACAAGGGGCTGAGGAGTGCCTGGCTCCCAGGTGGAGCTGAATGCTTCTGGGCCAGGGCCAGCGGGGTTGGCCCTGGGACTTCGGGTCCACTTCAAGGTCCACAGTGGAGCCTGCAGACAGCAGCTCTACTAGATGCATGCTGGATGTGACCCTGCTGGGGTCACATGAACCCCATGGACCCTATTCCTCCTGAGAGGGAGGAATTATGCCAGTTCACCGAGCAGGTCCTTAAGCAGGCAGGGCTGCCCCAATCCGTGTCTAAGAGGGCTGAAACCAAGTCCCAGGACTGCTTTAGGCCCCATGTGACACTGAGGACAGCAAGTAACCTCTGGGTGTCCAGAAGGGCTTGTCTCCCAGTGAAACCCTGGGCAGATGTGCCTGCTGCCACACCCCAGCGGAGCGGTACTGGAGCAGGGTCATAGGCCCATGGAATCTTCCGTGGGACACTGGTCAGTGACTCTGCCTCTGAGGAGTGGATGGCCAGGTCTTACTCTGGATGTCTGGGAGACCTGGATGGCTCCCAGACCATGGTTGAGGAGTTCACAGCAGGGGTGCAGAGACACTTGGGGACCGCAGGCAGGGGGCTGGCATCCCTGCCTGAGGAGCGAGCTGGCGTGTCCCCCCATGGACCCTATGAGGACATTCCAGACTGTGGCTGGGACGGCTTACTGCTAGGCTGCAGGTCACTGTGGTGTTCACACCAGGGACTGTGGCCACCAGGCCTGGACCCAGCAGGACTCCTCCCGGGTAGATTGCTCAAGTTTTGTATTAGTACCAACGGGCTGCGGCAAGTGCATGGGAGAAAGGACTTTTTCCGAGTCTTTAGGTGGCCAGAGGTCCTGCCAGCTGGCCTGGGCCTGGCCTCTCAGGACGGCCCTGCTCAGCTGGGCTCCACTGGGCTTTCACAGCCTGTCACCTGGATGCAGGCTCCCCCCGGGGTGCTCTCCCTGTGGTGTCTGTTAGATTATTTGAGGAGTGCTGGGGACATGCATGCGGCCTCTTCTCCTGCCGTCCTGCTGCTGCCACTGCAAAATTTCACTTTTTTTTTTTTTTTTTTTTTTTTCGGAACGGGAGATTGAACTCAGGCCCTTGCACTTGCCAGGCAAGCGCTTATTCCACTGAGCTATCTCCCCGGCCCCATAATTTCACATTTTAAAATAGATAAAAGTAAGACACCACTAAGTGCCGAAAGCAAAGTAACTGTCACTCCAGAACTGCGTGGCCCAGAACAAAGCAGCTGGTTCATCCACCCAGAAGTCCCATTGCTAAGCGCACGCCTGGAAATCCCTGGGATGTCCCTACAAGAGAAGCGCGGAGCGGGACTGGCACTGCTGAGAAATAGGACCCTAAGTGTCCACCGGTGGGAAACGGGCAGATGAGTTACAGGGCGCGTGTGGTGAAATACTCCGAGCAGGTGAAGTTAGAGGACTGGGTCAGGACACCTCGGGATAGACATTGCTAGCTGGGCGCGCTGACGTACACCTGCGGTCCAGGCTCTGAGGCGCCGAGGCAGGAGGAGCAAGGCTGAGCCCATTCCGGGTAGCTTAGCAGCTTAGCAAGACCTTGTCTCTAAAGAAAAACTAAAGAAGGGCTGGAGATGTAGCTCAGTGCAAAAGCCCTGGGTCCAGTCCCCAGGGCCACAAAACAAAAAGATACTGAAAAAAAAGAAAGAAAGAAAGAAAGAAAGAAAGAAAGAAAGAAAGAAAGAAAAGAAAGAAAGAAAGAAAGAAAGAAAGAAAGAAAGAAAGAAAGAAAGAAGAGTACTTTGTCACATATTCCAATTTTAAAGCATGGAACATACATTATTTACAGAATATATGTATTAAAAATACACAAGAATAGATAGAGTTTGTCAATTGTCTGGAGGCTGTTATTTGTGAGGGGAAAGGAACAGTGTGAGAATGGAAAAAAAAATAAAGAAGAATGGAGATTATCTTGGTTTCTTCCACTGTGTCTGATATTTTATGTTTTTTTGAAAACATCCAGCTGTTGCACAGCACAAGGGCCTGTACAGTACACAGCAGGTTTAAACCAGGCAGCCACACAGCCTGGGGGGCAGAGAGACAGGTGTGTGGCTTCCCTGGCTGGGCGGGTGGCACCTGCCATTGTGAGATGTCACAGAAGATGATGTAATGAGGGAGCCCCGCCTCTTGAGAATGTGCTCACAGTGTCCCCTGGAAGGAGAACCCCTGGAAGTACGAAGACAGAAAACAAACCAGTCCACACAGCTCCAAATTTCCTGCAAACGAGGCGCGGGAGAGGGGGTGGCACCCGGCCTTCCCGGAGCCCTTCCTTGGCTGCCTGACGGGGACGATGAGTGGGTCAGGGAAGCTGAGGCGAGGTGCACGGTCCTTGCCTGGTCGCTCTGAAGGCCCCAGCGGCAGCGCCAGCGCCCCTGTCTTGCTGCCAGAACTCCAGACCCCTGATGCCAATGGGTACGTGCCGCTGCGGACCGCTTTCTGTGAGGTCTTGTGTGGTCTGAGTTGCAGGTCATCCTGTGTAATCCGGACATACCCAGGCGGGGCTTTCCCGTGCAGTCCTCCCTGCAGCTTGCTGGCTGACTGTGCCAGGCAGAGCTACATTTCTTACGTGGGCTGGGGACAAGGCAATGAAAGAGGGGCCATCCCTACGGATGACTTTCCACCAGAGGGCTGGCAGTGCTGTGTTGGTGGCGCGCAGAGCTCAGGGGCATCTGTGACACTCATGGGTGACAATGGGCCCAGGGCCTGACAGTGGACGCACATTGTAAGAGAATAACCTCTAGGAAAAGCGTATTCTCTATCACCTGGACCTGGATGGCGGGCAAGCTCTGTCCCCTTGGATGGGCCAAATATGCTGCCTGCTAGGAAAATAAGCTCTGCAAATAATGAGGTAACCACACTGGGAGCAACAAGGAGGCTTTTCCCAGAAACAAAACCGCTACGCAACTTAAAGGGTTGCCGCAGAGTGCCCCGCCGTGAGAACGGCCCTGGACCTCGAGTAAGAAAGCCTGCTGCCTTCACAGGAAAGCCCACGGGCTCCACGAAGGGGCACAGCAAGCTTTGTTTCACGAAGCAGAGGCTGGCGGCTGGGATTTGAGGGGTTTTATTAATAGGATAATTTTCAGGGGCTGTAACTAACCTTAGGGTACTTACCTTCTGCCGCCCCCAATAGCTCAAGAATATCTAAAGGGTGACAAGCCAAGAAAACTCTTCCTCAGAGGTACAAGGGGTGATTTAAGAACATGGTGCCTGTTTCAGTGAAGAATTTATTATAGGAGGGTTGGTGAGACGGCTCAGTGGTCTAAAGCACCTACTTAGAACAAGCTTAGCAAAGCACAGGGACCGCAGTTCAATCCCCCAGCACCACATGCCAGCCAGCCGCGCCCCCTGGTGGGCTGAGCTGGCCACACACACACACACACACATAAATAAATAAATAAAAATTAAAAATTAAAAAAAATTTATTATAGGGAAGAGACACATCACACTAACCCTCCCCAAAATGCTGCTCCCCTTACTGTGAAGGCCCTGAGCACACAGTTCACACCCCTTTCTGAAGCATCAGGGCTTCACAAGGTCCCACAAGCCTGGACTAATAAAAATTAAAAAATAAAATCCGGATCTCTTGCCCTCCAAGACAAAGCAAGAATAAATGGGCCTGCAGGCTTGGGTGTAGTGGGCGGCTTGAAGTCCAAGGTAAAGGTTAACAGTCACGAACTACATGGTGAAATACTTTGTGGTTGATTCTCTCCTTTTTAGGCTTACTTGGCTGTGGAAGATTATCCTAAGTGTAATGTGTGTATTGACTTTTCTTCTCGTTGGTAAGTCTGCCCAACAATGATGCTTGAAGCTATTTCACAGGATTTTTTTTTTTTTTTTAACTTTTTCAGGATGGCTTTTTTTTTTTTTTTTAATTTTATTTGTGTGGGGGGGGGGCAGCTCAGCCCACCAGGGGGCGGGGCTGGCTGGCATGTGGTGCTGGGGGATTGAACCGCGGTCCCTGTGCTTTGCTAAGCTTGTTCTAAGTAGGTGCTTTTGACCACTGAGCCATCTCACCAGCCCTCACAGGATATTTTTGCATGGTGTAAAAGTACTCAACAAAATGATTAATATTTGGTAAATAAGTACCACAGAAAATACCAGAATAAGTAACATGTTTTTGAGGATTTTTAAAATTTTATTTTTCTTTATGTCCAATTATAAAGATAATGGAAGATCATTATACAAAGCTTAGAAAGTGCTTTTATTCCTCTTAGAATTGTATTTCAAAATCACAGAAGCTGATTTAAAATTAAGAACCTTTAATATATTTACTAGAAACCTGTCTTTTCTTTCTTTCTTTCTTTCTTTTCTTTTCTTTTTCTTTTTTTTTTTTTTTTTTTTTTTTGTGGAACCAGGGGTTGAACTCAGGCCCTCGTGCTTGCCAGGCAAGCGCTTATTCTACTGAGCCGCCTCCCTGGCCCCCTGGAAACCTGTCTTACGCTTCACCTTTTCTCAATGTGGGTAGCTCCCTTTGGAGATTTTGACCACAAAAGACTCTTGCCAGTGGCATGGATCCCAAGGAAATCTCTCCTCCACAAGAAGCTCGTGCTTTCTGACTGGGCCAGCACCACTCAGCATGAGTGCTGGGACAGGGGTGGGGTGGGGACAGCTCTTGAATGCGTTGTCACTTTGAGGCACAGAGGTCCCATGACCGCCAAGTTTCTCATCTTGCTGCTGCCGTGCTGTGGTGTCGTTCGACGTGGCAGCGCACGGAGCTGCTTCCCCGTGACTGTGCCCGTAGCCCCCCAGCTGGACGGCTGCCCGGACCCGACCCTGCACCAATGCCCAGTTAGGGGCACCACATTCCAGCTCGGCGACCTCCGCAGCACACTCCGAGTGCGCTGGCTGCTAGTGAGAAGCTTTCATCTCTTGACTTGTTCTGTTTCCTTAGAGAGCCCTTCCTGGTCCTTGTCACAACCCAGGAAGTTTATATTTGCGATCCCGTGGAAAAGTTATTGGCATTCTAGTGAGTTAATTCCAGTCTACCTCTTCCCACATAACCCACGATGGGAACAAAGACACTGCGGCATATCTGTAGTTAAGGGGAGCCCAGGAGCCAAGGGGCCCTAAGTCCAGCCATGTTGATGACTAGCCAGAACAAGGGCCTTGACCCAGGCCAAACCTGGGATTTATTAGTTCATGACGAAGGGAGTGGCTTGAGGATAGTGCCCGTGAGGATGGCGGGAAGTAGGCGAGTGCCGTGAGCTGGACTAGGCAGGAGGTCTGAGGTCACCTTGCGATGCGCAGAGAAGGAAACGCAGATGTGGTGCTTCGGGGTCAGTGCCTCAGCTCTGCTACATAACCCTTTACGCCCTGGGAAGCCGCAGCTCTCATCTCCCGTGGACGGTGGGGAGCAGGGCTCTTCTCCCTGCCCTGGCTCACCTGTTTTAGTTGGGAGCTGGAGGGGGAGGGAAACCCTGCCCTGTTATGGGGCTTCAAAGGCTGTATATCAGCACCTCAGCTGGACCAAATATGCATCGCTTAAAGCCAGTGGAAGTCACAAGGAAAAGTCCTGGCTAGCCTGCACATATGAATATGGGGAAATAGCCCAGGTCCAGCCAAAAGAGAGACAACTGCTTTTCTTTCAAGAAAAGTCACTCAGATGGTCCTCCACAGTTCCTGGCTATGGTTTCTTTATCTTTGTTGACCTTGGGATTGATAAATCCAGCTGGCCTTTCCCACTTGCTGCCACTGCCACTGTGACCAACTATGTGGCCAAAACTCTCATCGCAGTACCCCAGGCTAGCATGCAGCAACGCTGGCCTGCCCTTCCCAGTGTTCCCCTCAGGATTCCTTAGTTATGTCAATTTCATTTCTCTTTCAGCACCTTAAATATGCTATCTAGGGGCTGGAGAGATGGCTCAGTGGTCTAAAGCACCTACTTGAAGCAAGCTTGGCAAAAGCACAGGGACCGCGGTTCGATCCCCCAGCACCACATGCCAGCCAGCCCCGCCCCCTGGTGGGCTGAGCTGGCCACACACACA